CCCTCCCTCCCTCTCTCACACATAAACACACACCCCAATTAATGAGCTAACAGAATAAGCAAAAGTAACTCAATACTTTTAATTATGTTTGCAGACTGTTGTGGCATAAAGCTAGAATCCAGGGTGTGATGGGTTCTAGTCCTGCCTTGGGCAAACACTTCCTGAAAATCTTGCCAAGAAAACTGCAGGGACAGAGCCAGGGAGGCTCCAGGAGTCAGCACTCAATCGCCCCCCCCCCAAGGATATTGGTGCACAGTGTGTGAGCCTATTGTGCCATATTTGAGCATATATATTTTTGCCAAAGGTGGCTTTCTTGTGTCCCTGGAAGGGCCCGTTTGTCCCTGGGGGCTGTGATTCCTGCACAGCAGCCTTTGCTTTCCCTGCAGAAGGGATCCCGCCTCCAGCTAAGTTTCCTCACTGGGGGCTTCAAGGCACCCCGGCGATTTTTCCGGGCTGTCGGGAGCTCAGGCTCTGCTCGCCAGGAGGGGCTGGAAGGGGCGTCCGTAGAAAGTGGGACACTGGAGAGGAATGGAGGTGCAAGACCCCCGCACAGTCTCTGCCCCCCCCCCCCGAGTGTGTTGTCGCGCCTCCTCCGGATCCCAGCGAGACTTTTTCCCGCTGGAGGGCGAGACAGTTTTGCCCGCAGCGGAGAAACCGCTCCGGCGGGTTCCTCTTCCTGTAGGGCGTGGAGGCGAGTCGGCGTCCCCAGGACCCAAGCGCTCCTGGTCTGCGGCCGGATGCTAGGCCGGCGCGAGCTCCGGCGCCGCTTCAAGAAAGGCCCGCGGACTGGAGATTCCCACCACCCCGAGCCAAAATGCAGCCCAAGAGTCTTGTCCCAAACGACGACAACTAAAGAAGCTTCTTGGATTAGAAGCGAAAAGGAAGCCCAGGTGCCTTCGGGAAAGCCCCTCGGAGACAGCCGTGCCCGGGAGGACGGAGGGTCTCCAGGGGCTTTTAGAGGGTCGAGGGGTGGAGTGGGGTCGACACGAGGACACGAAGCGTCCCCTGCGGAGGCGTCCTGGGGGGAAACCGTCCTGGTCCCCCGATGGGCTCCTCCCAGGCTTGCTTGGCTCCGCAACACCGTCGTGGGAAGCAGCCAGAGGGGTTGGCAGCTGGGCGCGTAGCGCGAACTGTTTCTTCATTCTTCCGGGGAGGTGTGTGCTCAACTACGGACCTCCGTCCCTTCGGCCGTCCAGAGCCTCTGGCGGGCGACGGGGCAGGTGTGCCACGCTAGGGGCCTCTGAGCATGTTCGGAGCGCGTGCTCCTCGGCTGGGCGGTGGGGCGGGAGGGAGTTTCAGGCCGGGCGAGGTGGGGCGAGGCAGTTGAGGCGGGAGCGCCGGAGACCGGTGCCGTCCGGGACCCGGATCTGGGGCGGAGGCCGGCCAGGAGGGTCCGGTTCCTCCCCGCGGGTAGCAGGCAGGGGTGGCGCGCAGGCCAGGAAGCGCGGCGTGGCAGGACTGCCATGGGCGAGGCCGAGGAGCAGCCCCCGACCGGCCACCGCCGAGCGCCCACCCCGCGACGCTTCCAGCTGCTGCTATTGCTGCTGCTGCTGGTGGCGGAGGTAAAGCCGGGCCGCGGCGCCCCTCCCTCCCTCCTTCCCCGAGGGGAGGCTGCCCAAGCGGTCGCCGAGCGGCCAGAGCTCCGCCAGCTCTGCTCTCACGAAAAGGCGGCCAGGCGGGCGAGGAGGCTCGACGGAGGCTGCTGGCGGACCCGCGCTCGGACAGACTGGCGTGGGGGGTCTGGTGTCTCGGGAGCAGCTTCGAAAGAGCGCGGACGGAGGACAGGAGATGGAGAGGCCGGAGCGGCGGGTGGAGCCGGCCTGATCCTGGATGGGCCGGAGAGCGGCTGCCGTCGCCGTCTCCTCTCCTCCAGTCGCCCAAGTCGCCTGTTGGGCTGGGCTGCGTCTGGCTTTGGACGGAGGGCGCTGGCTTGGAGTCCCCAAAGGGTGTCCGCTCTCTTCGACGTCGGGCAACGCGCAGTCTCCCCCGACGGGCGCCGCGCTAAGAGGGTCTCTGCGGGGCGGCTCGCCTTTCCCGGCTGCTGAATTGTCCGGTCCCTCGCGGTGCCAGGCGGCTTCCGGAAAGCCACCTTCGACGGCGCGGCCGAGAATCTGGCTCCGGCTCCACCCGCTGCTTCTGCCTTCTCCGCAGGCTCTGGCTGGCAGCTCTGCAGCGGCGAAATCGGAGTCGGAGTCGGCGCCGCCGCCGCTCTTGGTAGCCACGCTGGACGGGCGCCTCCGCGCAGTGAGCCCGGCCACGGGGGACGCCCGGTGGACGCTGAAGGAGGGTGAGCGGCGCGCGGGGCTCCGGGGCTGCTCCTGTAACGCCCCTGCCGCCCAAGAGCGTCCAGAGGGGGCGTCTCTCCGGTTCTGACGGGCGCTGCTCTGCTTTCAGATCCGCCTCTGCTGGTGCCCCGCGAAGAGCCCGAGTGAGTGGCGCCGGCCGAGCTTCTGCAGCGGGGAGAAGGCGCGCCCCGCTCACCCCAAAGCGCCGTCTTCCCCCCCATAAGGCAGCCGATGGGGGGGGGCGAGGGCGGCTGAGAGCAACGGGGGGGACGTTGCTGTCCGCCGGTGGTCCAGCGGCCTTGTGCCGATTGCCCAGCTGGCCTAGCTGGCCTTGTGCCGGAGGAGCTGTCCAGGGCCAGCGTCCTTCTCTTCTCTGTCCAGGCCCGCGTTTCTCCCCGACCCCAGCGATGGCAGCTTGTATGTGGTGGGGGGCAAGGACAAAGGGGGGCTGATGGTAAGTAGCCAAGAAAGGGGGCAGGGCACCCCTGAGTCAAAGTGGCCCGTGCTGAGTTTGCCTCCTGGGGAGCTCAAGGGGAAGGGGCCATCCTGCAGACATTTCCCCTGATGGGGCAGTAGAGAAAGCTGGAAGGGCTCCCTGCATCCTCAAAGACCTGCCTTGTGCAACCGATGGGGAATGTGCAGACACAGGATTAAGCCAGCTAGATCTTGGAGGCCATGCAGGGCCGGGAATAATAGAGTTGGATGCCTCCAGTTCTAATCCAACTGCCCATGCAAGCAGGAGACCCTCTAACATAGTATAGGGCCTATACCATTTCAGGCAACTGGCTGTCCAGTCTCTTCTTAAAAGCCTCCAGTGATGGAGCAGCCACCACTTCTAAAGGCTGTTGTGCTGGTTGATTGCTCTCACTTAAGAAATTTCTCCTTAGTTCTTGTTGCTTCTCTCCTGCCATTGTTTCTTGTCCTGCCTTCAATGCTTTGGAAAATAGGTTGATCTCTCTTCTCTGTGATAGCCCCTCAGGTATTGGAAGACTGCTATCACATCACACAGGATCCTTTTCTACATTAGACTAGAGTCATAGCCAATTCCTGCAACTCTTCTTCACTTGAAGGAAGAAGGAAATGAGAAGCTTCCACTGGGCCAGTGTAGGGCCATCCGGCTTGGGCACAGAATCCCATATTCTTGAGGGATGTAGAATATGCCCAGAGGAGCTGATCCTGAGCAATTAAAGACACCTGAGAGAGTTTCCTGGCTACTACTTGTTTGTTGTGAGCTTTATTTCTCAAGCAGGTTCTCCTGCTTGAGCAGGGGGCTGGACTAGAAGACCTCCAAGGTTCCTTCCAGAGTCCTATTCTATTCTGCTCTCTTCTGTTCTATTCTATTCTATTCAGTTCTATTCACAGGATACTAATGGTTAAAGGGAATAATTGACTCCCTGTTTGTATTGTGTGAATGGAGGTTCTTACTTAAAGGCATCCTGAAGGCCTAGAATTCTGAAGGCTGATGATGTGGTGCATAATTCGAGGGGCATCTACATGACTACCACACCAATAGTTGTTGGCACAGAGGTCCTACATGTTCCAAGCTTCTTGTGCCAAAATGCAATGCTGGATCAGCTGCTACAGATGGTGCCTTGATGATTCCACAATTGTTAGTTAAAGGATGATCTTGAGCTAAGTAGGATGTGTGTGTGTCTTTCTCTCTCTTTTATTTTTCTGGTAGAAGCTGCCTTTCACCATCCCGGAACTGGTGCAGTCTTCTCCGTGCCGCAGCTCTGATGGCGTGATCTACACAGGTGCTGGGGGGGGGGTGGGGTGTTGTTTCCATCCTTGGCTTGTGAAAGGCTGGGCAAAGCATCAGTGAGGCTGGAGCCCATCTCCACTTGGAAGGGATTGGAGTGCCCCGGAATACACGTCTTCCCTCCTCAATTATCCAGGGAAAAAGGAGGATACCTGGTTTCTTGTGGATCCGGCATCGGGGGAGAAGCAGAGTGTGCTGTCGCCAGAGGCCTGGGATGGGCTGCATCCCACAAGCCCTTTGCTGTTCATCGGACGCAGTGGTAAGCATCCCTTGGGGCCCCATCCCTGAGAAGGTTCAGGGGGAGAAACAGCAGCCTGTAGAGAAAGAAGAAGAAAGAGAGGGAGAGGGGGATAGGAGGAGGAGAAAGGAGAAGGAAGAGAAGGGGAAATGGGGAGAGGGAGAGGGAGGGAGGGAGGGAGGGAGAGAGAGAGAGAGGGTAAATCAATGTTGCTCTCCTCTGCAGAATATGTCATCACCATGTATGACACAAGGACCCGGGAGCTGCAGTGGAATGTCACCTACCTGGATTACTCCGTTTCCATCCATGAGCAGGACCCCGACTATAGTGAGTAACTGGGCAGAGCAAGGTGGCAGCCGGGATTCTCCTTTCCACACCCCCTTCCTTCCTTCCTTCCTTCCTTCCTTCCTTCCTTCCTTCCTTCCTTCCTTCCTTCCTTCCTTCCTTCCT